TCAATTACTGACAAACATGTTGATGAAACAGGAATATCAGCAGTCTCGTTTAAATTCATGATTTCGTAAGCTTTATGATTGATACAATAACCTTGTCAGCAATTACAATTTTTCATTGAGTCAAATGTTGACGGATGTTTATCATATTAGATAATAATAGTTAGTGAATTATTTATTGATTGATTGATTTGAACATATTTTATTGTAATATAATTACAAAGGGATTGAGCACAAGTACTGAATACTTATAACGCCCTCTCCCTAGAATTGACGACACATATTTTTTTCTTTATTTCCCGATCATGATAAGGAGCTTACTCCTCTATGGCACCTGATCCCACCTTTCATCGTTAAGAGGTCTGTAGTTTTCTCTGCTCCTAGTTTGTATTTTTTATTGACTTTTGATCTCGAAAACTGTTCGTTTTCTCCATATGCTGCATTTAAGTCAACTGTATTTAGGGATAAAAAATAAACTACCCTCAAAGGGAATAAATAATTACCCTTAACTGCCTATCTTTGCCAAAGATTGGCAGTAATTGAACTTTAAAATTATGTAAGAAATAGCATGAATTTTCAATAACTCACTTTAAAGTAATTATTTCTTATAATTAAATAGGTACAGGAATTTACAATGATAAATGTAGGCCTTTCAACTGCCGCTAGGGGTCGGTTTTATGAACGATAACTCACTGCTGAAACATGTTGAGAGCAGGCTCGGGGTATCGAACTGTTTACACGCAAAGCAGTTTTTAGCATTTCCCAAGTGTTTCTTTGCTCTCAGTAAAATCCAGTTGTTTTAAAATTTAGCACCAATGTTAAACTTATTCACTGTATGGTTGCGGACACCATTTCACTACATATAATGAAAAGTTTTATTTAAAATAAAAAGTGAAATCTACCCTCTTTCTTAGTTCTAACATAATTAAATTTTTATACTCGGTCGTTCCCCTTCGTGCTTAGTAACACAAGTAAGATGATCAATTGCTGCATTTACTTGTAAAAATATATATATTTATATAGGAAGCAAAAAAGCGCGAACACAAAAAACATGACATTAAATTTTTTTCTTCATAATAATCGTCAAAGAGAGGTAAAATATTGAATACAGTCTGTTCCCCATTCATTTGACCCTGTTATTTCAGGTAGGGTGAAGGCAACTCTCTTTCTCTTGGTGAACACTTTTGTGTACAAAACAATGTAAAGAACCCTTTTGTGTACATAACAATACCAATTCTGAAACAGCCTATATGGCATTCCTATAAACGATAACTCATAAATTGGCACTAAGTTGGTCATTTTTCACACCTGAGTTACCTATCCTTAAAACACAACATCGGAAAAGTCAATTATAAATAATTAAACTTTTTAATGATGTAATTAAATGTATGCATATGTTATTATCTTTATTGATAAATTTATGTACCTATAAATCTATCTATGCAATGTTTTTTTTTTACCATATGTGCAACTTGAAAAATTAGTTGAAAGGCCTAATAAATGCTGCAATTAAATTTACCGATATTTATAATAAGCAAAGAAAAGTAACTCTTTTTACATCTTTGCTTGTGGGGGTTAAATCTATTAGATATAAGCTGTGAGTGAAATAATAAGACAGTTTTATTGGTGTTGATACTTGCCATTATTGGATCTTAATTAAGCTTGCTTTGAAAATGAGAACAGCTACTTAAGCTAGTAATTATTTCTTTTTTAGCGAAAAAATTGCTCTTGTATGTATGTATTAAAATTTAGTCGCAATACTTTTTCCTTAACATGTGTATTATTTAGAGTACGAGTTTCCTACTGTATCGGAGATACAGGGCGGGGCTTAAGGCGAGAGCGATAGCTCGAGCCGGGCCCCGCCTTGTATCTCCGATACAGTAGGAAACGAGTATTCTAAATGACTTATGACATGACCTTTTTTTATGACCTCACTAATTTACATGTATATTTGGGAACATATCTCTCAGCCAATGGGATGATTTTGCAGAAAGTTGATTTCGTAAACCATTTTTATCAGTCGCAACTGTCATGACTGTGATGCGGAGAGAGATGGAGGTGAAGGTATCTATCAATTAAAATAATTTTAATTGTGAGGTGATACATGTGTATATAATTCGTTTTTCCAAATTTCATTTAGATTTAATTACGTAGGGTTGATCCTTTGTTTTTTATATGCTCCTAATGTTTTCTTTAAATTTAAGCTAAGGAAAACGTGCAAAACATTTTGATACATGAATGCATAAGATACATGTGGGAATGTAACTGAAGCCAAAAAAAATGTTCGTCGGGTATATTCTGAGAGAAATACAAGTATCCGACAATGTCATCCGTCACTAGCTTAATGCACAGGTGGAGAAGGGTGGCATATACATGTATTACCTAAATGTAACCAAGGCGGGTCAGGTACTGAATGGCTCGTGTCGATATGCCCCCACCCTTTTTTTGAGTTTTCGCTTTGCTGAAAGATTCTTAAATTATATTTGCTTAACTTTATACCCTTTATCTTTCCACGTAAAACGACCACATATGTACATATAATGTAATGGCTGATTATAAATCTACCCCACAAAATTCGATTTTGCTTATTTTGGCCCAAAAAAAAATCGTTTGTGAACTGCCGTCCTTTCCGAATTTGTTCAATCAAGGACACATTGTAAAATTCTATCCTAAATTCACCGCAAATTTTGAGTAAATATATATACTAACAGCTTCATATCATGTCATTTGAATGATTCTTGTGTCTATCTCATTCAATTTACGGATACAGCTTTCAGTCATCGCTAAAAATAAACCGTTCTGTATCGTAGTTATTGTACAGTTTCTGCTCATTTGCATAAGAAACGCCCACAAAAAAGTGTTCTCTATCGCAGTTATTGTATGGTTGACATCAAAGGAAAACTCACCGGGTCGGGTCACAAATATCAATTAATGACTGATTTGTATTTCTTTTTTTTTTTTTTTTTTTTTTTGCCTTCATCGTCTTTACTTTCATTGAATCATATGGAGATAATGAAAAGTATCAAGATCAAAAGTGATGGCAAGCTTTGATCCTTATGGTATTATTTTGTTGTTTTTTTTATGTTTTTCCATATTTCCAAATTTTAAGGAAGTTTATTAGAGAAATGGAAAAAAATATTAAGACTTAAGGCATCAAAACGCTCTTACTAATAAACAGATAGATCTTATATCGCGACTAAAAGAATATAATTTTGACTCACTTATACTATTGATTGAAAAATTAATATTCTTATTTCTTAATTAATAAAAATGTATAATGTGATAGTCTCTGTTTGAAATTTGCTCTGTTAACTATGAAAAGGAAGAGTACTAGTATAAGTCAGCTGAGGAACAGTTTCATACTAAGCATATTTTTTCATGCGGGAATGTCTAACTAGATCTAAAAATGAAATTGTGGTTTTACATTTGACAACAAAAATAAATAAACGAAATCTTCTCGCCCAAATTGAAAGGGAAATAAATGTGAAAACTACATGACAGGAACGGGATCAAGCGGATTTTTCTAAAATACATATTCTCTGGTAAGGAAGGGGAGAGTTTAAATCAAGCTTTGAATTGAACAAAACGTCATGTTTTATAAAATCTCAGAAGATATCTGAGGAATCTGGACGAAAAATATCTATACAAGAGGGAAAAAAGAAAAGTTCATCTTAGATAGAAGAAGAAATTGTTCAAGGCAATTTACATTACCTCCTTTATGTTTATTATCATTAATATAGTATCCTAGGTCTACATCTGTAAACATTAAAGCCAGTACATATTATTTATTTTAAAAATTTTTGATCGGAAAAAAGTTGATCTACTGCGGACGTTTGTTTAATTTATTCGAAGGAAGTGTCGTGTATGTCTTCTTATCCCCTCCTTTAATAAAATCGTCATTACATTTGCACTAATGTTTGATCTTTTGAATGGAAAACTCGAAGAAGCATAAGAATTTCACCAACTGTCTGTGAGTATGAATTAATGCCCTTCATAGATCTGTATTTATGCCTCCACGCCTCCGCGGGCAGTCAACTTCTTTAAAATTACATTTCAATCCTTAAAACATTACACTGAATGAAAGTGAATTCGGTCTTTCGCACTACTTTTATTTCTAAATGTTAAAATTCTTACAAAAATTATTTTAGTCCATCAACTTCCCTCCATTTCTTCTCCTAAAAATGACGAAGAACTTACAGAAAACTTCCAGATGTACTGCGCTACAGTAAACCTTGGCAGTGGTGAAAATAAAAAATAATGAATTATCAAAAAATTACATGAACATTTAGAAAATTCAGTAATTTTTTTCCTAAAAATACAACATTAAAAAGAAAGATTTTTCAATACGCTATTTGATAATTTCTCCTGATAAATTCAAAGGGAGACATTTTTGATTTTTGAGGAAATAGAGACAGAGTCAGTATATATTTTTAATTTTCAATTTTTTTTTTCAACCCCCCCCCCCAATTATCAAAAAAAAAATTAAATTAAATACATTTTTTAATTCGAATCTTATTAAAGGCTTGTAGAAAAGCGTAATATACGCATGATTGTCCTGATCTCTCGTAATCACCAATATAAATCTATCTGATAGTGAAGAAAGACACGAAAACATATAATATATGATTGTCATTTATTTGATAACAAAATACCGGGGCTCAGCCCACAATCATTACAAACTTCAATAAATAAGTAAAATGTCGTTTACAAAGGCAAGGAAATGCAAAAATGCGAAGCAAGGACAAACACATATGAAAATGAGTGTGTTTAAGGATTTCAATGAGAGACAGTGTCAGCGGAGGATACATGTATAGGGTTCTTGATCCAGGGACATTGAAGCCATGCATTGCATAACACTCAAGATAAAAGGGATCACTTTTATATGCAAGTTAGAAAACAGGAAAGACAACAATTGTCCAATAATTTAAAAGAACAATTAAAAAAAATCATAAACTTGTTTTAACATTTTCAGATTCTTTTTTTTAATCAAAATGTTATGTATTTCAAGCAATATTTTTTATCTTAATCGCATTTAATATTACATCATTCCATGAAACGAAAACTAACAAAAACATCAAATAGATTATTCATACACTAGGAATAACCCCCGCCCAACCTTTTTAAAAAAGATAATGAAATAATGTTTCAACTGAATCGATGAGATGAAGAAAAAAACAGAATTATCAATTTTTTCAACGTACAGTAATAATCATTATCTAGAGAGCTATTACATGTCCATTTCTTTGAAGTCTACACAAAGTTTTTTAACTGGATGAAATACGTGCTGTGTGTCTGCGTATCGCGGACATTCTCCTTGGTACACAACACGTCCGCTCTCGCAGACGACATAGTGAGGGGACCCCTCGCGACCTTTCCAGGGGTTCATGCCATCTTCATAGCCTTCACAGCTTGGAAAACGAATGTGGCATGGAATGCAGTGGGCAGATCTACATTTATTTGCTTCGTAGCCACCTACAATAAAAGAAACGAAATTCAATCAATAGTTACTTATATCAGAATAATTTTCAACGATTATACTTATACATGTATATGCTTGTTTGCATGTTTAAATTATTTAACTATAATTTGATTTTTTTAACTAATTTGTTTTTTGGACTGATGGTGGAAAAATATTTATTTTCATCAGTATTTATTAAGAACATTTTATAAATTAACGAGATACGTGATTGACACCTTTTCCAAGTAACTTTAGACTGTTTTTTTTTTCATTTAATTTTCATGTTTTAATGAGCATTTTGTCATTGAATTCATTAAGCTATATTTGATCATTCGAGCTATAAATAATTACATAAGTACAATGTTTTACCAAAGCATTATTTTTAACTATTCTTAATTCAATTATCATGAAAGGAGGATTTAATAAATCTGTAAATATCTTTGGCAGCTACTTAATGAATGTGGTTAATTGATAAATTTAGTTTTTATCGGAACTTATAGAAATTGAGCATGCATAACATTAAACATTTTAATAAATTTTACACTAATTTTCCACAGTTTTTTTCCGCTTACATTGATTTTTGGGTTCGAACCGTCTCCCACACTTTGTGGTGCTGAAATGTTCACATCTCTTCGTCTCCTCATCAAACAGGAATGGATACTTGCACTCTTTGACTTCTGGTTCGGCACCACTGGCTTTTTTGTTGGTACAATCGTAGTATTTAGCACAGCTGTCGGGATGAGCTATACGGGTTTCAGCTTGCAGTTCACAGATTGATGGTACCTTTTGTGGTGTCTGTGTTGTACCTGCATAGACAATAACTTTTATATCTTCTATCATCTACTTACATGTAAGTGAAGTATGAATTTTAGCTGTGTATTGCATTCATTTATATATTTTTCTGTAGATGACAAGTCTGGAAATTTTTTCTGTATTTTGCACTGCGTATAAAATTATACAGCATCATAATTAAAACAAAAAAAATAATAATATATATATATATACATGCGGGTTTATATTATATTGAAAAATTATATTAAAACAAAACTTATGTAAGCTTATGAAAATATTGAAAATACAACTGATGACAGACTATCAATGTTTTGATTAATTAATTCAGTGCCCTGGTTTACAAATGAGACTGGATAAAAAATTATCAATTTAGTGCAAATAATTCGACTCTTAAAAAGCATTATCAATAAAGAATCATTCAAGGAACATATAAAGAACACCTACGTTATATATTTTTGCAAATTATTGCAACAAGAAAATCAAATTTAAAAATTGAAGTATATTAAAATTTTGATCAGAACATTTTAATTTTTTTTAATCAGTTACGAAAATTATTGGTAAAAGTGTGCAACAAATCTTACATGTATCGTATGAGGAACCTCTTGGTACACAGGATCGACTTTCACGGTCTACTACAGAGTTTTCTGGACATTTAAATTCATATTCCCGTCCATTCATACACCAGTAAAACTTGGAGCAGTCTGCAGGATCCATTTTCCATTGAACCCCGAATAATCCATCACAAATGCTTGCAGAATGTACAGAGGCAAAGCACAAAGCCAAAACACCCGCAAAGACTAACATTTTCGTCGATGTATTCTAAGAGAATTTTTAATGTCAGATTACAACGTTTAGAAAGAAGAAAACTGATACCTGTTGTTTTAAACCATCGCTATTTATACGAATTGCTCGCCCAACTATACCTACCGCGCATGTTTGTGACGAAAACGCCTTTATTTGGCTTCGTCGAACACCGTCAAGGATAGGTAATCAATGGACTTCCGGACACGACTAGTCGCCTCAAATACACCTGTACATTGTTTGGTTATAAATCCTGATAAGCCGGGATCAAGAATGTGTTAATTGCTGATTTAATTGGAAAAGAATGATATTTATCCGACAGATTTTCGAGTTGTCATCCTACGGTTTCTGGTCCACCCGAGGTCAAAGTCTTGTTCTTTTTTAAGCGCCAGTCATGCCAAATATAAAAAAACTCCTTTCCTTTCCCAATTTACAGAAATAATGAAGCTTAATTTCATCTCCATTCATATTTTGACAGTTTCTGTTTGCAAAACATCAAAAAAGTTTGCTTTTCTTGTCACAATCCACAAATGTTCTGGAAATTTCAGTAATTTCAATGATATGCGTAAAATATTTGAAACATTTATTGGTAGCATTTTAGTTACTTGTTAATTTAGACCTTTCGAAAATAGATTTATTTATCCTAGAAAGTAGAATTTTAGATCGTAAGTAACATTGTTCACATTTTTCGTTTGAAATATATGGATATAACGAACAATATTCAAGCTCATAAGTACATAAAACAATACCAAATATGAGTAGAGCAAACACGGACCTCCAAAACACAAGAGGTGGGCTCCTTGTCATGATCGTAAAAATTACGGAAAATCTGTCGTCAATTCATTGTGCAAATAATTGACTAACAATGTAATATATATTTTAAAATTCGTATAAATTTTGTAGTAAATTCATTTGGCACGTAATTTTGCTTGCCTAGTTTGTCACTTTTTTCATATGGCATTATCTTTTTCCTTTAACACTTTTAATTTTTTTATTCATTTTGAAAAGCAGCCAAATTATCGTTTTCAATGAGATAAGATGATGTCCTCTTGATGTGCACTGTTCTTGAAGGATTTTCATTCAAAAGGGGCAATCGAAGGATTAAAAATTGCATTTTGTATTTAAAAACACACTCCTTTTAAATTTATTTTTACATTTTAAATGATTACTAACGAATCTTTGAAATTTCATGGACATGTGCTTAAAGGCGCTTCTAAAATTTTTGTTTCTTCGTACTTATGTTACTAGCAAGAAGTACTGTTTGTCATTACAAAATAACAGTCCTTGGTTGAGCTACGAGAGAACTGGGCCTAAAATAAATAATGCAAATTGGTTTCAAAATCGATTTTTTTCATCTTCTTTTGGTTTTATGTAAAATTAAATGGTCACCTCGAAGTGGGGGGCATGAAAATATTTTTTCATTGTTATCGATAGATATAATTTTATTTTTGGGCCATTATAGAATAAAACAGATTTTGTATTCGACAGGGATACACAAGTGAACATAAATTTTCAAAACCAATTGAATTAATTTAGATCGATTTCATATCTTTTGTCAAATATATCAAAAAATTGCTTTGGTAACCTGAAAGGTTTCGCGAGGATGAACATAATGATGAATTCTAACCAATAAGAGAGCTCAGAAGTATTCGATCATGTAATTGCTTTCTGTAAAAAGTGTCAGAAAAAGCATATAGATTTAATTAGCCTTGATATAAAAATAAATATCAATACACAAAAGATTAAATTTTTTTACTAAGGTATTGATGTTTCTTAAATTAATGTTAACAAGAAGATGATTACATGAAATTGAAAAAAAATGATTAAACAAAACTTTTAGAAAAAAATGATAATTTTTTATATCTTTTTAAAACTTGAAAAATATATCTCATGATAGCATTTATTTAACATTTCATGTTAATTTACAAATCGATATTCTATTAAAAAAACTTTTGTCATTCACACTCAAGTGATGACTAGGTATTGTCACGTTTCTTTCAGGAAACAAGGTTCATGCGACTATCACCAAAATATACTAACACCCCTTCTTTTACAGCCAGAAATATTCTCAGGAAAAGCCGAACTTATCAGTAAATTAACGGTTGTAAATCAGTACACCTTTCATGAAAGGGATCATCAATTGATGCTTCCTATCTTAGGTCGGCGAGACTTGTAAACTTCCGACGCTTTTGAGAATTGGCCAGTCTTAGATGTACCTAAATAAATCGTGACGACAGTGTTCGGGCCTCCCACTCTTCATATCAGATATTTGAATCTTCAGTTAACTCTTTGCAAATATTTTATAATAAGATCCAAACTTCACAGGCAGATATCAGATATATATAATGGTGTAATCTACCAGTCAAGATCATAGCATGGAATCCATAGTACAACGTTTTGGTATTTTAAACAAGCAAAGAACTATATGCGGTATATTTGTCAAATTTTGAAAAATTCCAAAAATGTGCTGAATTCAATAAATTGTAAGATAAATATAAATTAACGGAACAAATTATAGTTTCAAAGCAGTTTATTCACAATTTTTGTTTTTATGACGTCACAAACTAGTCCGATTTTATATCCTTTTTTCAGAAAGAGTACAAAATGGACAAAATTTCAACATATATTTATAGATGCATGTTTGTTCAAACAATATTTACATATTTCATTGATATTATTATTCTACACATTATATCAAAATTTTGATCCTGAACACACATACTTTTACAAAATATCGTATGTACATTTTTCTGTAGAATTCATAAAAAACTGAAGTTTACGTCATGTTTGTGATGTCATTACGTACATATGACGTCATTATTTATGAAAATATTCGTGCTTTGAGGTATATACTTAAGAACTTAATTAAATATACCTCCATCAAAGTTTGATTTTGGGGGGCAAATATTGGTTATTACCGAATAAAGTTCTTTGCTAATCAAATTAACATACATAATAGAGTTAATAAAACTGTGAATAGATTAAGGTGTCAATAAATTGACTTTCATTGTTGACACTGATAGGAATGGGTGTTATTTCTTTTGTTAGAAATTTGTTGGCGGAGGTGGTCACTTAAGATTAAATGTGAATAAGATATAGAGAATACTTTATAGCATAATAAATCCTCCAGAAATACAGTTCAGAAAATTAAAATTTGAAAATAATGTTTACAGAAGGATTGCCAATGTTGAATTAATGACACATGGATTCATTTATGTGTGCATATTTTTAACTGTTATAATTGTTTGTTTGTTTTTTTTAAATCAGAATTTTGTTATTCAATGTTTTAATTCAATTTGACCTAATATTCGAAAAAAATATATGTAAAAAAAAATTGAGATAGAAGTTATAAAATTGATTTATTTTGAAATGATTAATAATGATCAAAAAGGATTCACAGAATAACGGTATTTTGAACAAAGTAAGGATTATTTAGCGTGCATGAGCATCTGTTAAAAACCTGATTGATGTGCATGTGCTGTAAATGAATTAAAATTGGAGTTAAAATTGATAACAGTTTTCGGAGCAACAAGATAATATAGATTACTTACACAAATTAGTGTCTTTTCCGGTTTAAAATTTCTTTATAATTCTAGAGGATACATATAATTTTCTGGCAATTTTCTGGTTAAATAAACCTTTATTTTATACAAATTAATATAATATCAGGACAAAATAAAGTTTAAAGAAAAAAGTTATTTATTTCCTTTATTTTGACCGTTTTTCTTTTTAAATTATGCAATACAAGGTCAAAATCCTGTTTGCCTCACGTTTTCAAATTCTAAAGTGCATACTATTTATATCATCTATATTAATTGCTGCCCCATACTCTTTGATGAAGGTTTATGCATTTAGTAAAAGGGCAAAATGCCGTAAAACAAACATTCTTAGTTCGTGGTAATTTTCTAGATGCTTTGTGGTAATATAAAAACGTTATCAATGGACTTTACGCTTTGCCGTATCTACCCTTACAATAAAAAATCTAATTCACGGTGAAATGATAAAGTTTGTTTAGAACTTTCGGTAGTCCGTTTAACACGCGTGTACATATCTCTATTAGTAGCGTTTCTGGGCTAGTCCTGGGTAGCCCTGGAATTGCATGGGAAAATCCTAATTTTCATGTACCTGTTATGTAGCCCTGTTGGGAATGCGACCAGCAGATTACAATTTACATTCAACAGATGATAATCTAAAGATCAACTTGTTGATAGACAAGAAACCCAAATTGGGGATTTATTGAAAGTGATATCTAGTATCATTGACTTTTATCTTACTTTCATCCTTTAATGGCTTGTTAGCGTTTTGCAAACCTTTTAACACGATATTTACTTATGCTGACACTAAATTAACTTGTTTCTAGCTAAGGCATATTTTTTTCGTTACATGTTTGGATTGTCTTTAAAACATTCATATACCGATGGAAAATAAGCTCAAGGCCTTTGGAATGAGTGACTGAAACAACAGACCAAGCCTACTGAATTCCATAAAAAAGACCTGTTTTGGTAATATTATGTAATTAGATATAAGAATAAAGATCATAGTTTCTGGCCATTGTAGATTGTTCTTTAGTCTAATGCTGTTTTACGTTTTTTTCATACTACTCAGTAATTGATGAATTGAAGACGGATTTTTCCGTTAATTCTCGATAGTGGCAAGTAGCACACGGCGGGAGTGACCGTTCTGCAGGGAATGCTCACTCCTCCATGGCACCTGATCCCATCTCTGATGTTTTGTAGGTCCGTGTTTGCTCTGCTCATATGTTGTATTATTTCATGGACTTTTGATCTTTTGATACTGTTCGTAATCTCCATATATTTCATGCTAAAATAAATTATGAATCTTATGAAACACGATTGAATTTACTATGAATTATAAGATTAATTTCCTAAAATATCCATAATCAGATCGCCATCATAAGTGGACGTTTCAATGTTACAAATTTAAAAGAAGAGGTTGGATTCTACATTGTAGTAATTCTTTGAGTAACTTTGTTTAAACCTATACCAAGAGGTAAAAGATAAAATGGACTTTAAACAATTTCTCAGTAACCCTGAGAATGACGACATTATGAAGTGCAGAATCAATA